AGTCTGCGCTAGTCCATGGAGCATTCTGGGGCCTATTCGGCGGTCTTTCAACTGGTTCAGGATGGACACTTTCAGACTGCTGTACGCTTCCCATTACTGACCAAGTTTGGTGGTGCAGCGACATACCCCCGCACGGCCGGTGAACTGGCTAATTTGGGGGTGTGTACAACGTGCTGACACTAGACTCGTTGTTGAACTACGTGGGACCAGCTATTAAGGTCGTCTTCAGACTACTGGTCTGTTTCCAGTTGCGTATCGCGCTCAAGGAAGGATCTCGTCTGTCTGGGGAAGATCCTGAGAGGTGATACTGGCCCGGAGTTCCAACAGTACTTGCTTTTACGAACAGAGGATTGCACGCGAGGGCACTGCCTCAGGTTCCGGAAACTTCAGTCACTTGGTCTTCCGTTACTCTACGGACTCTTGCGGAGGTCAACAACTCTGGAATTTCCTTTCAGCGACCGGATTGCAGAACACAGACCGTGCTTTCAAACCTGAATGATATGGCTGAGCGTTCTTGCATCCTGCCAAGTTCTCCGCAACATTAGTCCACCGAAATTAAAAATTCCCTTGAATCCAAATTTTAACGTTTCCCGACTTTTTCCTAATGTTCATGCAAATGGGAGTCTTTAACTTGATTGTAGAAGTCGTCTTTGATGGGCTTTTCTGCATGTGACGTCGGAGCATATACAGCGATAGTCAGGTAAATGGCTTACCCCTGAGGAGTGCAATGGCAATCCTGGGAGAGATTTGTTCGTAGGAGATCATGGCATTGTTGATCCGGCCGCTCACGGCGATTTCCACCTCGTGCAAATCACAGTTTTCAGTTGGACCGCGGTGGTATTCCCGTCAGGTTGTGTTGCTATGTGTTACGTTGATGAGATTCGTGCCACAGTTAGGTAGTCGGACTTTGGACAGATAACAGATGTCCACTATGTGGTCGTGCAGTGATCGCATTTTGATACATCGGCTTCCTATGTCTAACAATGTCCTAACATTCCAGCGGGCTACATTGATGCTGGATCTGGTGCATAGATGGTGTATGTTTCCAGCTTGCTCATTTGTCACCCCAAGTAGTGGGAGAGCGCAGGGCACGCCGTTTCTCGGGAACGCCGTAGCATGAACTCGATGTACCATTGTAAGACGATCCATGAAGGAACTTGGGACCGAAGTAGTGATTAACGTCCCCAGCGTCGATTGGCTTTTGTCTGAGGGTGTACTTCTAACCAACTGCAACAAGCAAGTGCGACCTGCAGGGCAGAAAGGTTGGCGGCCGGTGACTGTCAGAACGGTTTACACGCACTTCGGATGGTTCAGAGCCAGTCCAGGATCCTGGTGTTCGTGAGGTTTGAGGGTCGATAGCATTCTTCAGAGTTTACCCTACCCACAAGAGTAGGCAAGTAGCAATCGCCGTGTATACTGATGGGTCACATTCGCACACGTCGCGATGCTGTCAACAGACACTTATGGCTTTTGAAAGAGACGTCGGTCATCAGCCAGGAAACCTCACCACTCCCTAGCATCGCCGCTGATCGTCCGCGACCGATTATTCAGTGAGGCAGCCCCACCTATTCACGGTTAACCGCNCTGTTCTCCTATCCGCGACCTGAAGACGAGCTCCGTAGCACTCGGTTGTGCTGTCTATAGACACTCCATTGACTCATCCTGTCCATGTTTGCAAGAGACAAAGGTGTTCACCGATCGGAGAAAATGCGATACGGAAATAAGCACATAACTTGATGTGCTTAACGCAAAAATGTTAATTTATTACCAAGATCATCTTCACAGCAAAAAAGCAGATTTCTATAAAGAACACATCAATAATATTAATGTGAATGATGGTACCACGCAAAAAGTGCTTCATGACAAACGACGAGATTATCAATGGAGCTTTGATGAGTGGTCGATTAGATGGAAATCAAAACAAAATGAACAGGTGAGATGCTGAAAGAGAAGAGAGAAAAGAAGAAGAGGAGACTGCGCAAGATCACGAGATTTTGTGGGGGTAAGATGAAAAAGTTTAGTTGATCGGATCAACTCGAATGCTGGGTGGAATGGCGCAGCAGATGACGCAGGACGTCCTTCTTTGTCAAAATGCCCAGAAGACACCTGTTAAAAAAACCAAGTGATTTTTATTCGAAAGCGAAAATGGGGACAATGGAAAGAATAACGACCTTCAGGACGAGAAAAACGGTCTGAGATCAGCATCGAAACGCAAAAAACAATCGAAGATTTTGTGGATAATTACTAAGCACGAGCGCGAAATCTTTCAAAATTGTATTGTATTTCGCTTCTGTACTAGAAATAGATGACTATCACTTATCGTAGTCTTCTCAGTACTCTTTTTTCATGAACCTGTTTACAGATAGTTGATTGGTCTGGACTCAGGTTCAGCGAATACGATACTTGGAATTTGCCGTTGGTTTAGCTTTTTGATTACAGTTTATCGGAAAACCGGTTGTAAGCAAAACCACATTGACCTCAATAAAGGAACAGGTATTATTCAAGTCTGGATATTTTTGTCACCTCATATTGTGTCCACAAAGTGCGAGGTAAATAAATTACTAGAGGGATGTGAAAAACCATCCACCTTCAAACAACATCCTCCAAGAACGATTCAAAGATACAGTCATGTACCCTATCCGATTAACCTACAAAACGTAACGGGTCGCGACAATGGAGAAACAGTGACAGTATAGCTGAATAAAAACGTATTGCGGGATGTGACAGCACCCCATAAGTGAAAATATTTTGTTCGTAAAACCTGGAAACAAAAAGCGAGAAAATAGTACGATGCCCTCTGTATGCATCAGTGTTAACAAATAAATCTGATGGTTGCGCGGGCGGTGGCGACCCGGTGGTAACATCACTTAATTATCACTTCGGGGATGTGTTCGAAACCCACCACCACCGCCAGACTTTCCCCATTGTGTGTTGTATGGTAGCCCTTTGATTAGCAGCTTCCCCCTTCCTGAAAATTGCATCCTTCTGCATACAATAAAAGGAAGTAAAACTGAAAAAAGATCGAGGGACATTTTGTGGTGATTGTGCAAACCTAGGGGTTGGGAGGAGAACAATAAAATCTGAGGAAGCGTCCACCTCGTACATGAGTGTCTGTGTGGGCGTTGCATACCACATTCCCAGATCTGTACTTCCAGTTACGTCACTTTGGTCGTGTGACCCAGTTCTCAGATCAGTGATGCTGTGTGTGGGCAGGGTGGGTTCGCGAACCCAGGGGAGATGAAAAGTTTGGATAAGACGCTTCTGCGCACATAGTTGGGAGTTAAACGTTTAGCACAGACGACTTTGGCTGTGGCCAACGCATTCTAACACATTTGGACCTATTCGGGGGGAATGCTTCACTTGAGTTAACACGACGGCCAGTGTCTATCAAGACAATTAAATTTCATAATTGGATTTCTAATATGCCGAAGTAGCGCCCAATAGCCCCTGGGGTATTTAGTGCAATCCCGCCCGGGAATGAATGCTATCATGCAACTTACAGCCAAACGGAAAAAGAGAAGCATCTGTAGTGTCTTTAACAGCTGGAAATGAGATGCATTGTTGAAGAATCTCGTATTCCACGACGATCTGGCACCACTCCTATTTCACACATGAAAGCCACTTCCCATTACCCATGTGATTCCCGTCCTGTTTAAAACTACCGACTCTAGACTCAATTCTCAGGTTCATACAGATTTAATTCCAACAAACAGGGGTTCGAAGTATCAGAAAGATAAGCATCGTTCTGAAAACCGATCCATTTCTATGAGAAAATGAAGTTCAGCTTCAGTTTGCACAACCATTACCCATGCACTTGCATAAGTCGGTTTTGCTTGTTGTCTTTTGGCTACCCATTTGGATAAAGCAGCCGAAGAAAGACAGAAAACGAAATTAATCCGTAAGAATCCAACTACGATTCCGGTTTTCGTAGGTGTTGTTAGAATGTATAAGTAGTCTCACGGGTCCCCAATTGGCTCAATCGTGTTGATCACAATTGCTCTAGAAAGTGCAAATGTCGGATATCGAGCAAAAGTTCCAAAATCTTCAAGATCATTTCATGTATATGAAATAAGCAGCTTTTTCTTGAACTGTAATGTAGTTGTGCATTCTTGAATACAAACTTTGCGCTGATCTTGGCTTTTGATTTATGAGGTCAGCAAACAGAGAGGGACAGCTAAAAGTTGGCGTTACAGAGAACGACTGAATTAACACCTATATGACCACCGAATGGTAGGTACCAACAGCATTAAATTTCAGAGAAAGGTTTTTAAGATAAAGGACTTGACGTTCGCGATATCCAGATGAAGTCACGTGAGCACTTTGATGGTCCCATCGCAGCAAAAACCGATAAGTCAACGATGCTGTTTCAAGGAGCTACACGAAAGCAACAATCGACAGTACAATTAAAACGTTTTCACGCTCCCAAACAGAGGTGCATATAAACCAGAAACAGTTATAACAATGAGTCCATGACTTCGATGAATTTCAAATGTTATCCAAAGATGCTACATGTCCTGCATGTGAGAATATTGATCGCATTCAAGTGTCGTCCAAGTAAATGCTTTCGGTAGCCATAAGGAGTCGATCCCGATTTACGTACTACGAATGACGGACGAACCCAATTGGTAGGGAGGTTTTCGTCAATTCCGTGCACAATGGCTTTGTTGATACTGAGAGTGGCGAGCCCATCATTGAAATACACATCCAAACGGCATTTTGAGGCGGACAGCAAACAGAATTCACGGTCAACTTAGCGGTTGGTTCTCGCAGCGGTACCTATATACCCAGTCGACTTTAGGTGTGAAACAAAATACTGCGTAAGACTGATCGTAATTACGATATGAAAACCATAGGATGGGCACACCAAATGCAAACTACCCCCATGAGTCCAATGCCGAACGTTTGAAAGAAACATGTGTGGCTTATATCGATAAACTTGAGAAACCATTTATGCTGCAGTAACAAACAAAGTAAAGGGAGAACGAAAAGCTGAACTGCACTTACCCGTTGTGAGTTACTAGCAGCTGACGAAGGCCAAGTTTTCGGAAAAAGTCCAGAACTGTTTCCATCGGAGTTTGATCAGTGACTGTTGTTGGCGACTGAACATGAAAGACGGATTGAAGACAAAAATGTGAAAACGGCAGAATTCAATTGAATAGAGATACAGAAAAAACGGGGACCACAGGGACATTCACATACCAATCATGGAGGGGTTCAAAAATGGAAATACCATACGGAGTGATTATCGCTCAAACGGGTAGTAGTAAATGATCAAAAAATTGTTCGAAAATCCCATTACGAACTGCGCCGACTTATGTGGCCCGAAACGTAATGAAAGTGACCTCGTAATGTGATAAGTGTTGGGAAAATTTGACCGCCCAACAATTTATGGATCAATCTTAACGAATATCATCAATACTTTCATAGCAATAGCTCTAACACGAGCCCGATGAGATGGCCGGATGACCCGAGCTGTAATCAGACGTACGGTCCCGAGTATAAACAGTCGTGAAGTGACGCAAGTAATTGTGAAACCGGGAGCGTATTACACGTGCCACTTAATAGACTACTTCTATGAAATTCATTTGCCTAACAAGGCTAAGGTTAACGAATTCGGTCAAACAATCAACAGAGAATATCACCAAGACACGTGTGGCATGGGAGAGAATGATACATTTCAGAGAAGTGAGCACCACTGTCTATGACACGACCATATCCTCATTTATCGAACTGTCAGTGAGGTTGACCCCGATTATTTATTCCGGTTAGCTCAACACGGTCCGGAATAAGTAATCGGAGTCAGTCTCACTGATAGTTCCAGAAATAGGGTGAGACAATTTTGCCAAACACAATGATGCTCACTTCTCTCCGATATTTAATTCATTACAACCCTATACATGTCTTGATGACATTCTCTGGGACCATTATTTATTATTTTTTCCTTATTGAATGGATAACTGTAAAACGGAAAGAACAAAGAAGCCCGAGAATGCAAAGGTGTGATGGACGGGTAGTCAGGTGACAGAAGCCGTTAATAGATCGACTCCGAGTTCCTGTATTTGAATTCCAACAATTTTTTTTTCAATTCTCTCTTCGAAAAGTGAACGACTTATAGGAAAGGCTGAAAGTTTCTCCCTTTAACGGGTAACGCGTACTGCCGGTAATCAAACACCGTTGTCTACGCCGCATCGCGCGAATCTGATGGGAGTAACAGAAAAATCATACCGACGTTAGACAAACTGCAGCAGGTCATGGAGGAGGCACACCTACGCAGAAGCCTAACCTGTGACCAGATGTTGAATGAAGCAGATAGGGGCTCGGGAGAAATATGTAACATCCCCAAGCTTCGGTANAAGACATGCTCACTGGAGCCATTTGAACCTGTGGTATATATATCTACATATTCAACACCGGCAAGAGAACAAGCTTGCTGCCAACACCATAATAATATTAACAATAACAATAACGAGCGGGGGGGGACAGAGTATAGGGAAAAGATGTAGCTGTCAGAATAGAAGATCCCGAATGAGTGGAACAACAATTTTTTGGTGTTTCACCGTACACTTTTGGAAATTTCTTTTGTTGTTTGTGGTTTTTACGGGGCACGAGATTTTGACAGGCAGGCTGTACAGCATTCGCGCCACTGACTTCTATTCCGGGCCATATCTCTCAGCGTCTCTAACCAACGACAATCCTCATCCCTTGGACCCCAACCTGGAAGGCGGGCTAAACCAATCGAAGCTTGCTTCTTCATGCCTCTAGCCCATGTCACGGTCTGACCGCCGCGTCGNGCGAAGAGAACACGGAAAGGTAGTCGATGAGCAGGCATACGCAATACGTGACCAAGCCATCCGAGGTGGTGTACAGCGATTACTTCTGTTAGAGAACGACTACCCGCACCCAACACACGACGACGGTCCGCGTCATTGTTCACCCGGTGTTCCCACCAGACACGAGCAATGCTTCGGAGCTATGGGTGATCAAATACAGAAAGTCAATTAACATCCTCCGCTCGGAGAGGCCAGGCCTCGCAACCGTAAAGCAGAACACTACGAACTGCGGGGATGTACCCCCTTCCCTTAAGGAACAGTCGGATATCATGGCGGCGCTACAGGTGTCGTAGGTTGGCGAAAGCTATTCTAGCTTTCGCTATTCGTGATGTGATCTCGTCTCCAACACCAACACCACCTGCGATCAAGCTCCTGGGGTACTTAAAGTTCTCAACTACTTCTCGCTAGTCACCACAGGGGATGAGTGCAGGCACAGGCTCCTGCCAGTCTTGAACCAGCACTTTGCACTTGGAAGGTGCAAAGTACATACCATACCTGGATATCTCGATCACCAAGCGGTTCAAAGCCTGTTGGACTGCCTGTGTATTGTTAATCAGCAAGGCGATGTCATCAGCATATTCCAAGTCAAGAACTCTGTTCCCTGGGAGGAGTTTGACTCCACCGTTTGCTAGACCGGTCAAAGCATTCTGTAGAACATCCACCATGACAAAGTCGAAAAGGAATGGGGATGTAGGGCAGCCTTGTCGAACTCCATTGGAGACGGCGAAGAGTGGCGAAAGCTGGCCATAGGCCCTAACCCGACATGAGGTATGACGATACAACTCTTTGAGGATTGACACATACTTCTCAGGTACTCCATTCCTCAACAAATAGTTCCATAGTGCGGTATTATCGGCAGAGTCGAAGACCGCGCGAATGTCTAAGAATACAATGACCGTTGGTCTTTGGTAGGCATCACGGTGCTCTATCAGCTGTCGGAGGGTGAAAATTTGATCGATGCATCCATCATCCGCGCAAAACATAGCCTGCTCCTCACGCATAGTGTACAATCGGCGGAGAATGACGGATGCGAACAGCTTTGACACCATTGGGAAAAGGCTTATACTCCTATCATTGGCGCAGTCATCGCACGGGCCCTTTTTGAAGATGGGGACGACAATCGATTCCCCCACGAAAAAGTGACCTGCTCGGTGTTCCAAATTTTAGAGAACAGAACTTGTGGAGCAGGGGGAATGCCATCGGAGCCCGGCGCTTTGTGACGTCCCAAGGCTTGGATTTCCTTACAGATTTCCGCCTCGGAAGGTGGGTCTGTTAAAACAGACCATGGGACGTATACCGAAACAGCTGTGTGGGAAGCTGACGCTAGTGGCCAGCTAAATTATGCTTTGAAGTGCTCCGCCCAGCGAGCAAGGCGTCGCTGTTGACTATAAATGGACGAACCGTCAGCTTCGCAGATCGTTTCGCTCACACTCCAGGCTTTCCTACCGCTGACCCGGATGAGATGAAACAGCTGGAATTACCCATGGTGCCAGCACGTTCTATCTCTGACGCGGGTTTAGTCCACCAGATCTCGCGGTCTCCGGGTGGGCTTACGTTGAGGTTACGACTCGTTTCTCGTCGTATTTCACTAAGCTCGCTGCCGGTCGGGATTGATCGGCGCGCGTCGAGAACCCGAAGAGATTCCGCTGAAATCCAGGGTGTCATGGCACGACGTGTCAGACCACAACTAACTAAGCCAGCAGAATGTAGAGCATTCTTGATAAGCGACCAGTGCTGGTTAACGTCATCGAGTGGGGTTGATTTCAGCTTTTCAGCTAGCGCGTTCTGAAAGACAGTTAGGCGTGCTGGTTCGGACAACTGATCATAGTCTAACCGTCGATGTGTCAAGCGTTTGGAACGCCCACCGAAGCACATGGACAGCTTGGCGGAAACTAACGCGTGATCGGATTCGAGAGCAATGCTTCAGTACGATCGGCAGTCTTGTATACAACCCCGCCATTTGTAACTTATAGCGCTGTGGTCGATCTGCTTCCGTATCTGACACGAGGATGGCGGACGCCAAGTGGCGTACCGGCAGTTAGAGCGTCTGAAGTTCGTACGGGCGAGGAACAGGCAGTGGTCGGAACAAAGAGCAACAACCGTTCCCCGTTTTCCGAGCGACAGGAATCTAGTCCGAAAGGACCACTCAGATGCGCCTTACTAGAAGTCAGTCGGCCTAATCTAGCATTCAGGTCTCCTGCTAAAATCACGATATCAGCCCGACTCGCTTTACGCAAGAGGTCGTGTAGGTCATGATAAAATTCATCTTTTACTGCAGTCTGGGGCGTACGCCGACACGACAAATAGGTTTCGTCTGTCGGGGTGACGGCTGTTTACTTTGCACGAACTTCTAAGTCTCACTGCGCACAACCTACTGTCGACTGGGATCCAGTCCAGGAGGGCGGCGTCAGCTCTCACTGAGAGCCACACTGACGCCAACAAGACCGGGAGCCGCAGCCTCAGGGTCCCCAGGGAGGCCTAAGTGAGACTTCAGCGATTGGCTGGATGGGGACGTCAGTCGGTTAATAGAGCTGGTATCTTGAATGCGAGTTGCTTGGATGCAACACATATCGGTGGCTGAGGTTTCGGGCGTATGAGCTACAGATGCCTGTTGTCCTATACGCATCAGAGTGCGCACATTAAACGTGGCTAGTTTGAAAGGGCGTCAGGGGTGGAGAAGACCTCAGCTGGTGGAGGATTCGGTGAGACTTTTATGCTAGTCGAGGTAGGACAAGTATGAACACGGACAGAATTTCCGCCCGAGGTACTACTGTTAGTACGATCATCTAAAGTACCCGAGAGAGATGGAGGTGAGATGGGGGGGGAGTCTGGGAGAACAATATGGTGTATATGGTGTAGAATGTTTTTCGATCGATCAGGAAGCATCAGAATACATAGTCAGAAGATCAAAACAGTTCATAATTGTGCGCGTTGCGGGCTATTGTACTACTCGGTCGCCCAGTCCAGAGTAGGCCTTGTTCGGGGATGCACTCTAGCGGTTGCGCAACCAAACGCGGACTGCAAGGCAGCAGTGATGTTCCAGATGAGCCGGTGGCCAGTCGTCGGTTCATTTGCCTCTTCTGGAAAACCTTGTCGAGCAATGGATCCCGACAAGGGGCATGACCATATTTAGTGGCGGGCCACACTCGCCACGTCACAGCGCTGTCCACATATATATGTGGTGTTTTGTGCGGAGAACCCTTGCCAGGGGTAAACCCACCACATCCTCGAGCGCTACCGCTGATCACCGGCGACCGCTTATTCGGAGGGCCGAGGCCCACCTTATTCACGGTTAGCCGTGAGATGACAGTCGTTCCCCTATCCGCGACCTGGGGACGCGCTCGGTAGCATACAGCTCTGCTCTCCCGAGGAACCTTTTGTGGTTCCTCCCTCAAGAACACAAGCTAACTACTACGATAATCGAGCATTGATTGCTCGTGATTGTGGAGACTGAAGCGTTCGCAGTCTATCACATCGAGGTGCTAGGAATACAAACATTCGGAGGACTCGCTTTTCAAGTGCGAGAAGTTAGGTTGTGAGCATTTATTCACGAGTGTTTTATTGGTATTATTCTTTAATCAGCGTTCATAACCGAGTTCTGATTGCACAAAGCGTAGAGCCGTGAAAATAAATAGTTTGTACAATAGGGTCACCAGTGAATTTCGGGTAACGTAAACATTTAAAACAGTAGGGAAATTAACCCATGTTCATGGAACTGTTCGGTCAATTAAATCAGTCATGTGTCAGCGCTGGGCTGGCAAAGAACAAAGGCCTTAATGAGATACGACAGCAGTGGGTCAGACAACTGTATAGTTGTCCACAACTGAACTTGAGGATTAGTAGTGAGGTTCGAAAACCGAAATTTAAGAACTTCTTGGCACCACCGACCTAGACGCTCGATTATCATCACTCCAAAAAGGCTAATAAGAATGTGAAAGCAGTTATATCAGAGCACAAGTACGGCATATGGAAGACAAACCTACCAGATCAACAATATTCTTAAGACCCACTGGCGTTAGACCGTTGTTTTCCAATTGAAAATCATGCGAATAATCCGTGAAGTAGACAGGCGAGTCATCCGTTATCGAAAGGTCAAGCTGTCGGTCTCGGTCTTGTTCGATAGTGGAGTGAATGGACCGCAAAGTTGGGAATATGAGGAATTACCGGTACAGAATAAAATTCAAAAAAAACCAATATTGATGAGGTGATATACAAACAGACCAGGAAATACAGCTGTGGAATGACTCAGAAAAAATGTTGACCGATATGCGAAAACTGCAGTAATTGTATCTTCTTAGTTGACCAGACTGCAAGTGACGACTACGAAAGTACATGTACCTATTGCGTCTCATTATTGGATTATTGGTTACATCATCCATCGGCTGAATGACCATACAATGAACGAGCGGATTTCACCGCTGAAGAGAGCATCATTTCACTGTACTTCGGAACGAGATTCTTTCACCATTTTTTTATTACACATCTAGGTATGATGAACAGCAGACGCGTTTAACCCCATAGCCACGAGGACCTGCTGTTCAGTGGTTGAAATCGGCAACCTCAGCCCCGGAACTTGGAGTGGCGAACCACATAAGGCCCCGATAGGTTAGGCGTGGTATTAAACCGGACGACAGCAGAGCTGCCTACCACCAAAGTCGGGGCTCGAACTTCGGACCATAGGGTCCAAAGCACGCCAGTGACAGCGACTAAACCGCTGCGCCACCACCACCCATGAAGAGTGTAAGCAGTCACATATAATTTTATTCCTTGAATTATGTGATGTTGTAACCTATAAAAGAATGCTGTATTTGGTTAGTAAATGAGGCACCGAAAACGAGCGTGTTTGTCAAATTGACTTCTTGAGTCACATATAAGCTGGAGGATAGCGTTTGATTATCCGTTTCCGGTTCTGACGCATTTCCTTCACGTCCGTCGGAACACAAAAGCCGATCATTGCATGACGCTGTTTTTATCCTTATAGTGAGTCACCAAGAGGAACAATGATTGAGGAATGACGTGAATCAGTGGTCTGTCCCCAAGATCCAGAATTTTCAAGCATACCAACTACGGTCAGTTAAATATTTATGTTAACAAAAGTAACCAAAGGAGCACATTGCGCACTAAAATGACCTTATACCGATTTAACATAAAAACAGCCGAAAAAACACGTGATCCCCAATCAGAACAGGTAATCCAACCATTAAAATACAACAGACAATTGTATTTGTGCTTCTGTAGCCGAAAACGGACGTTTACTGAAGTAGACGTACCCAAAGCCCAGCGCAAATCCCTTCGTGTGACCCACCCGACTAAGTATGGGGACTGTTGAGACACGACGACAGGAAAACCCTTAACATCTGAGGAGTGCAGGAGAGCTTCCAAGTCGGCTACTGTCATTCCGTCTCGCGTGATGACATAGAGAGGCGAATCTGGATCGCTAGATAAAATAGAAAAAGATGAAAAGTGGTTATCAACTTAACAGATTAAGATCGATTTACGTGTCAGTTGATCAATGAGTACAAAAAAAAGAAAACTGGAAAGTAGAGGCGGAGATCGGGCAGAATCAGAGGGTCACTCTAACGCAACGAGACAATAGAAACGAACTATTAAAATTGACACTGAAGAGAAAAACACGACACTATTTTCATTTTACCAAACAAACCGGATTGGAACAGCTCTAAATTCCTACTGCGAACTTTAGCATCGAACCGAAACATAAAACAATTGAGTACAACAGGGTGAATAAACGGTTGCGATTCAAACATGTTCATGGTCAGGTTAACACAAGAAGACACATGGGCACAATCGACATTGGCATGTTTCATCTCAGTAGTAAACAAACATTGATACAATCATGTCAATCAAAGAACCACATCAGCTGAAATGAGTCATTCGAACAGGATGGTGAACAAATGAGTTGCATAACTGGATTTGGCTGGTGAATAAGGTCAAGGTAGCCAACAAAATTTGATAATAAGCAACGAAACTGGACTTTGCAAAGTAGGCGGTGAATGTGTTGTACTGAACTGCCTCACGGCAGTCGTCTGGTGTGAAGTAACCACTACGACTGAAACAGTTGAGCCAGAACTGTTACGTCTGCATAGTTGCGGATTAGATCGATGGAAAACTATCCCCTCTAGAAAGCGAAAAATCGTAGTGAGGTGTTGGTTTGGTGATTGGAGTTTACCAAATGCAGTGCGCTTGTGCGCTCAATGGTAATTGTCATCCGTGAGGTTCAACGTTTGCGGGGGCATGTTCCCTCATATTCTGGTTGACAGACGTTTTGCCCGTTCGGTGTACATCACACCTCAGTTGTATTGCAACGATAAGATACAACTGCAATTAAAAATAGCGTCTTTTTGATCTAGATAAAGGCATGTAAAACATCGGTTCCGTAGATAATCACTGGTCTAATGAGATTATACATTTTTTCCACGCCACGAGTTGGGCGACAAACTATTTTCGTAGTCACCTATTTTATCCTGAGAAGCAAGTCGATGTAGACGTCCTTCTGCTTTGCAATTAAAATGGGTTTGGGGTTGACTATATTGGTATAATTATGAATGAAGCTAAGTGGATAACAGTGGATACAAAACAAAATACGGGCGATTTTTTTTACTGATCTGGTAAGACTTCCGGGTAATGCAGTTGGTGTACTCTGTGAAATAGAGTCCACATCAAACTGCGTTTGTATCCCACAAGGAAGAGAACCTTAAATCACAGCTACTGTCCTGTTCAAGTGGGCTTGCGAAACGTAGATATTTGAAGCTCAACAATCGATTAAACAGGAAATCAAGAGTGGTTTGGACTCAGATTCACATTATAATATGAGACGCATATTGGGAGGAGGAAAGTTTGACTTGTGGATTGATGACTTAGTATATGTCTCGTTGAGTACAATAACTGATATTTCATCGACGATATAGCTCTTCGGCTCTCTTTCAGTTGGTTTTCTAGGGCTGACACGAAGATGTCAGTGACAATTGGCCTCAAAGGCTTCCCATAGCAACACTATCTACGATATCTAAATATATCTGTTGAAGATGAACTGCACTTCACGAACTGGAGGGAAAAATCGTTCACGTTGTTGAATCGATCGAATATGTATATGACCACATACACAGCAATAAATGTGAAACTGCAATACCGGATGTTGATCTCAAGTCATTCCTATATTTTTGCACACAATGTACAATGTGAATTTGATGATGAAATTTCTTATCCAACAGGTGGAGTGAAAAAGGGGTTTTCCATTGGTCCACCTATCAAAGGTCTTCACGACTGAGTTGGAGAACAACACTGTGAAGCATCGATCGAGCGTTCCACAAATTCAGCAAACGATATATTGATGTACAGTTTATCGAAGACAGAGTAAAGCCCCCTAGAATCTTGAGTGCATTTAAATGGACACAACTAAACATAAAGTCCTATCTCGCAATGGAAGAGGACGCAAAGATCGCATCTGTGGACGTTGTACCAAACCATTGGTCAGACGAAACTCTTTAGCGTACTAGCTTATCTAATCTTTAGCACACTATCCACAGGACGCCACCGTGGAATAATCAGTAGATCCGATTCAAGAGCTAGGTGCCATTGGAGTGGAAAGAAATCTGATTCAGTGAGTATCTGAAAGGACGCGGTGAATACGTAGCCAACGACACCATTGAGGGTGAAGATTTAACCAATACGTTTTTCTCTAGAACGATTCAAAGACATTTTAGGCGTCATTGACTAGCGAGTAAGGTCACGGTAGTTGGTAAGAAACCGGTATATACACATACATTGCTCCTTTTCGAAGGTGTGAGAAAACCACCGAGGTGATAACACATAAACTTCTTTTGCAAAAAGTTCAATTCAATTTAGTTTGTACAACCACTGTGTATGCAATTTCATGTGCCAGTTTTGGTTGCAGTTTCACGATTTCCCATTTTGGTGATGATGTAAAAGGAAGATTGGAAAATTGAAAGCAATGTCGAGGAGAGAATAGAGAATTTCGGTGAACCAAGATAACAAAGAAACTGGGAGGTTGCACGAGTGCGACGATTTACGACACTCAGGTAATCATCATGAAAGCCATCAGCTCCTCCACCACGTCTAACGTATCGGGGCCTTATGTGGTTCGCCACTCCCAGTCCCGGGGCTTAGGGTGCCGGTTTATACCACTGAACAGCACGTCCTCGAGACTATGGGGTTCGCCCGTCTGCTGTTCATTACACTTAGGTGCGTAATAACTTAAACCATCGCAGTGCTCCAGCGGATTTTGCGCAACATAGTCTTTCCACAAAAGTATCCGACAACAAATCCCAACTCACTTCGGCACAGTTGCGTAACCTATGTGTGTGAAAGCCAGTGTGAGAAACATCTGGCTAAGGAACTGAAATGTAATTATTCGTTTCACTTTGAAATGAATTTTTCCTTTCAACCATAAGGATACAAATTGCGATGCATTGGCCAGCGGATGAATCACAAAAAGGAGACCATGTTCATTGCTGTAAGTTTTCTTACCAAAACCTTATTTACTGGTGTATTTGCCTACTTCGTTCACAGCCTCCTCAACCGAAACATTTGTACCCAATGAAGTAATATCACACGAAGCGATTGTGATAATCTAAGTCGATTAGTGATAGTTTTAATTGAAATGTGTCCTTCAGTCCAAACACAAACATCTTGGAGCTCATTTGACTAAGCAGCTTGGTCAACCATTCCAGAAGTATTTGTTGAGCAAAGTTAGCCATGCACAAGTTTGGTCGTGAAGGGGTTCACGGTAACCGCGATTAGGCGATTCAGAATATTATCGCGATGTCTGTACCTCGAGGTTTCAATGTGATATATAGGGTATTTTCTAAACTATCACTTTCGTCTTTTGCTTTGGAATCTAACAGAAAGCCAGACTGATTCAGAAGTATTGCTTCCACCTTTGAGACAATATTCGTTGGAAGCATGCCTTCCGCGTGAAGAATTTGAATAGAGAAGCCTAAACACAAGTTTACGCAATATGCCCTGGATAGTTTCACATTTGTACATGTGCACACTCAGTTCAGCTCAGTTCTTACAACCATTAACCAAGCACTTTCGTGCGCCGGTTTTGGTTGCCCATTTGGATAAAACACGTGCACACCATGCAGTTTACTTGATCCTTAGAAACGGAACTCCGAATTTTTTTTATCGGAATTCACTAGTAAAATGGACTTGTTCCGTTCAAGTTACTGTATCAGGTTTACGTGGTTTTATTTCAGCAGGGAAAAGTAGAGCTAAGGATGGTTAAGATTGGACCTGGCATGAGGGTATGGAAACTCCGACCAGGTTACTCGGTCATATAGGTCACGTTAGGTTTCCTGGATGGGTATCACATGATCATTGTCATGAGTGGTTAGATACACCGAGTGATATGGCTGAGTGTCGTAGGCAGTGGCTTTCGTGCAATTTTTCAATTTCTTTGCAACCTTTAACTACTGAAACTCTATTTTCTGTTCGATTCTACTATAACCTTCAGACTGCTTCACCCAAAAGGGTAGCCAAAAGACAGAAACCAAAACCGGCGCACGAAGGTGCCTGTTTAATGCTTGTACAAACAGAGGATATAGTGGCAAATTTTAGTCCAGTTCAGTTTGTACAACGATTAACCATGCAATTTTGTGCGCCGGTTTCAGTTGCTGACTCATAGCTACTAATGGATGGAGGAGGTTAAGATTAGGAAGTTGAATATAAAGTGGATAAGAAAATGCCGGATTCCGGTTGAAAAAAATAATGAGTAGGTGTACGAGTGACATTGTTTATGGCACTCAATCATATTACTGTGTCTATGACCATTGATTACAATAATCCCTACGTCCCCATCCAGAAAGCCTAACGCGAACCATAAATTCATGTAAGATTTTAGTTTGATTGTTCACTGCTTTTTCCACCAACTCCGTGCCTCAGCTAAAATTGCGAGCCATGGTAATCTATTTCGTGATTTGAGCAACACAGGCTGCAACCGACATAATATATGTTCAACCACTTGTAATAGTAGGCGACAGCGATTGCCTAAAATTCTGCGTCTAGTATCGGCATTCCTCGTTCAGTTTTCCCACCAAGGTCGCGTAGACAGCGGTGTTTGCACACCGACAGTATCTCTCCGATTCGGGTCCCACGGGTCTATATTGGATTGAAATTCCTGATGCGGTAGTACAGGATATTAGCTCCCTTAAACGGTCTGCCAGGTTCTCAAGCTGTGCCGTCTTTCGAAATCCTCAGACTGATTGTCCGGTACAGCTGAATGAGCGCATGTACAAATGATGTCGATACCAATTATGCCCACATAGGCCTACTTGTTCTAATGAAATGGGTGAAGAGAAAACGGCAGTTTCACGCATTTGTGGCTATTGCGTGAAACGTTTTTTTCAACTGACGTGTAACGCGATATCACATAGTAGAGGAGAAATAAAAGCAGTAATCATACATATTGACCAAGTGGTTTGAATATTCCATCTCCATCGAGACGAAAAGAGAGCTATTCATTTCCAATTACTATTGCTTGCAATTGCCTAACTGCATAAAAACACCGAATCGAGGACATATTTGAAATTCACGTGATATCAAATACGAAAATGGACTAGTCTTGCCCTGGACCATTGTGTCCCACAGCTGGTCGTGTTTCAGAGAGAGAACTAATGTTTGCAAGAATGTTGGGAGTGGTTTCCATGGAAGACAAAGGTGAGTGACAAGCTTCTATATTCTAACGGTCAGTTGCAATCACTTAGGTCAGTGTTAGCAGCTCTAAGTCCATCCATCTTTTTCTCGATCAATAACGCTAAATTGCATTATTCGTCATTGTGTTTAGTTTCCACGAGACACTGGGAAACTAAGGATTCCAGAACAAAGGATAGGTATGTTACGAAGAGCATCAAGACAAATTAAATCGGATCATACGAAAAGGTGATGTGCGCTGTTCGTCAGAATGAGTAGTGGGTGCATAAAGTTGAAAACCGACCAGATTGTGACCTGGCAAGGAGGACCAACCACTTGAGTTTCAAAGGGGTCCCCGGTTCTGGATAGCCGGAGCGGTACAATCAATAATTAAAACACCGGTTGAAGACCAGGTGCACAACAAACATTTCTGAGTGAATTGTGTGCTGATTTAACCATGGTCGGCTTGTTTCTGTATCGCCATAGTATAAAAAGGTACTACAGGATTAATTTAGTCTAACTCCCAATCTGATCCTCACAGAAGAGGCAAGAGATGAAGTAGAAAAATATTTTGCCTAGGCAGCTACATCTCTATTAACGGAGGCGTGCGTAATTTGGAAAAAGACCAAGTTTGATTAGATTACAACCAGTCATGACAACTTTCATTACGGAACTGATTCATATAGATTACGGAATAGTATCTGCAGATTACACTCGAACTTCGCCATTGGTGATTGGAGTTGCTATCAGAGTATACACCACTCCAATCATATTGATGTATTATTAGATAATTACTTATTCCGTTATCATTATACAGTAGGTCCTCGTAAACTTTACCTTTTCTGTATTCAGTGTAGAGAAGAAAGCAGTTGCTAGAGACACCAGGTAACACCCGAATTTGAAAAAGAAACTCATATCTCACCGAAAGCCTCAGTATAGTGGAGGTGAGTTTCTTGGGTTATGGTTAGTTACCTTTCCCTTGCACTTCACGAAATGCTCCTTTCTACATAACCAAGGGTCTCAAATAGCCTCTACTGAGGAAGCCCTACTCACTGCGTTTTCATTGCGGAGGTGTTTTCCCATCAAAGTGAGAGGATGAAAAGCCAACATCCGGGACTATAACCGAGTTGGTCAACAACTGACAGTTCACCTGGGGCATTTGGTTAAACAAACTGGTGTAAAACCAATCAAGAACAGGAATACGAACCACACCTACAACTTTCTGGTTCTGATAGTGGTAACGCCTTGATGTGCCATGGGATATTTTACCCCGTCTGAAGAGAGCATAATCCAATTAACTGGNGTAACCCCCAAATAGATTGCGGCTTTCACGTACGGCATTGTAGTCTTGCAGGTAAGGCTTTGGGTAGCCCAAGGCTCCGGTTCTGAATCCATTAGCTTTGGCCTTGACCGCCTGGAAGCATTCTGCGCATGAGCAAATCATGGCCCGATTTCTCTGTCATACAGATAGTCGTACTGTGGTTTGTTTGGAATACAATCTGGACTCAGTAATGTGTGAAACATATCCATATTCACTCAGGCTGACTGCGATCTCAATCCCAAGTTGAGGTACGGGGTCTTTCCCTTGTCCATGGATAGCACTGATAAAAGCATAAAATAAGGCGAAACGGTGAAATTCACCACCACCTAGCATCAATACGGCATACCTGGGCTGCATTACGTCAGCTGCAATCCACATGTGTTCCAATTCGTCATGCCCACCCAGATAGGGATAGTCGTTTAGGCGAATATGCTCTTCGTAAATACTGCCATTTGTGAGCCGATCGCCAGTCCACTTGCTTACCATGGACGCTATCATAAGTGGGATGATGTAGTTGAGACTGCGGGGTAGAAGAAACAGAAATGCCATCGGTTATTGGTCACGAATCATATTAAGACCACAAGTATTGGAAAAACCTAATTATTGAGGGTTTAATGAAATAAGAGTCCGTAACAGTTGTGTGGTAATCACTCTTCCAGCTAATCAATGTTGATGAAGCGCGCGCACCGTCCTACGCAAGAATAAAATCACGAGCGTTATATATATTATCTGTGCGTTTCCATGCGCACAATCTTCATTAGTTTGTACTGGGTAGGCCGCGTATGCAATTTTCAAACAGAAACGAAAATCGTTCATGAATGCACCGATTAATGACGGACAGAAAGAATAGAATCATTTTTTTCCGAGGCATCAAAGAACATGAAGATACTGGGTAAAGAACTAAATAAACTATGAATCATACAACCGAATTACATTTCCAGGAGGCTAAAATGCTACCATTTAATGTGGCAAGATAAACCAAGCACACGTGATGTAATGAGATTTACGTGAGATAAAAATTGTATGCATAGGGTTATCGAGCATTCGGTCAAAAGTGAACACTTATTTGAGAAAACTGAAACAAGCCTTTCCCGAGATTAATTTGAAAAGAAAAGACCATATTGCAATACTGCACGATTTATGTCCAGGACGATTTCGCTGCATCTCAACATGGTGCATACTGCACTTATTGTACGCTCTANGGGGGCGGTAACAGATGTGCTAAACCATAAAAAACAATATTTCAATCAAAACTTTCAGAACGAAGATAGATATTCACATGGTCGCGCAACATTACGACAGAAGATGACAGAAATTTGTGGAACAATGAACGTAAAACAGAACCAAGATACCCTCAAGCACGTACCCGCCGGTTAGTTCTAACATTACGACCACGAGTGAAATTGTCATCCTGGTCACTCCGCCCAAGGTTGCTGCAGCTCCCACCATGGCATACAGCCCCGGATTGATGCACGGTTGTGATGATTTGNCACATTCGAGCCACAAAAGGATGCGTGGCATGAGCGACAACAACCTGTTCAATGGCAACACCGAGCATACGACCCATGATAGCTCCAGCCTGCATCAATTCGGGGAGAAGAAAGGGTAAAAATAAACCTAAAGAAGAAGAATCGCTAACTTCAATAATATTCCCAAGGATTTAGGAAGGATAGATTAGATTACACAGAAAAAAGTAAACCACAAGCAACACTTTTCAAGTCATTAGTATCGAACCACTATTCCATAGACTTTGAACAGACATGAAAATTAGGAATATTAAACAATGGAGGGTGTACTATGTAATGAGTATTCTATCCATGAGTTCCGTCCACAGGGACAACCAAAACAATGCCAACCGGATAGTGCGTGCATTTGTACGTACGAGTGACGAGAATCTATGAAACAGCTGTTAACTTACACATCAAGCGTTGTAGCAGCGTAGTGGCAGTCTCTTTTACACACTCACAGTACAACACTGTATGCCTTATCAGTATCAACAATATCATAAGCAACTCCTAGAAGAAGTTCGAGCTTAATGCAACAAGGATAAAACTAAGCCTTCACAGAAATTGTTGGTGAAATAATTTAGATGAAACAATTTCTGAGAGTGGCTTGTTCATAATTATCGTATGATGTGGTCAGACCGAACCTCACATCCTCTGCAACATATGAGTGTAAGAGAGCTATCGTACGACTAATTGTTACATCACGAGAGAAAACAGGACCATACCAGCGTCCCGACGCCCCGCAATAATCAGTTGCCAAAAGAAAACACTCGAGACTGAATCGACCTAATACAAAAATGTCGCTTTAGGGTTTGGTGCCGACAGTCGAGTGAACAAACGACGGATCGCATGCTGTGAGTAAATTGATAGGCGAAACTAAATTCAACGCAGCACGCAAAAGATCGACACAAAAGTAATACGCCTTCATTGCATTCCATTCAGTGATATGGATGGAAATTCAACTTGTTCCGTAAAGTGACTACGGAACACTGACGAGTGGATTTTCCAAAAAGAGTTATCGATTCACGGTAAAGTCAACAAATACGGCAAATTCCGCAGATCGGTTTCTAAACTCAATGCAGCGACTTCAAGATGAGAAGCTATTTGATGTGTGGAATGGGCATTTGTCCTGAATACCGACACTTAAGCGCAGCCTCTTCGTACAACAAGAGCCTCCAAGAAATCGAGATATGCACAGGACTACATCTATTACCAACATGATCTACAAAGAGTCACTCACACTCAGAAACACTGAATTGTTCATATAGGTCAACAACATTGAGAAGCATAATGCCTAAGTCAGTAAACCAAAACTACAATGAGGAAAAGTGGCCGCATCAATTTAAAGGGGCTGCCACTTGAAAACATGCTGGCTGGTATGGGAAGGGTCATGGATAGGGGAAAACTAGGAAGAAACTCCGGTTATAAAAACAGTTGGCAGCGGTTAAAGTAAGCGTAGGGATTTTCCAAAGCCATGAATACCGCCGTATATAGTGAATGTACGAAGATGTAACAGAGCCACTTTGACTGATGGAGAATCGCTTCTTATTTTGAGTTTCCCAGGGAAACAAATAAAGAGGTATTTTCATAATTTATACACTAACTGGTATGCTGGGTTACTTGTGAATAATGTCATTATCATCATCGTAGAGCGAAATACAGCGAGGCGAAATTCAATGACTGCTGCCAAACTCGCAATGCATACAAGGTTAGTGGTTATATGTAAGATGGACAGGGATGGGACCTATTCTAAAGGAAAATAAGGCGAACCTCTATGGTCAACACAGCACGCAACCGAACTCTGCATACAAACTGTTTCAAGTAATCTGGTCTGACAAGAAAAAATAAGAACGCCACTGCTGTCAGTTCGCTGCCATGTCCTTCAATGTCTCCAATCAACCAGTTGCGGAGTGTTTCGGACCCCCAAATTGGAGGGTGACACACCTACTCTTCCATTTCTTCTGATCTCCGAGCTTCGGAACTTGTTTGCAATCGTTTCATCATCAGCCGAGGTGACACAATCAGATCTTGTGAAGTGGTAATACGCCTACTCTACCTGAAGGTTCTGTACATTTCTTCATGCCTCGTCTTCACGTGGATTTCTCCAGCCGGAATTACCTACAGTGAATAAAGCGCGGTGCGGTAGATGACGGCCGGGTGTACGCAATACGTGCCCTATCCAGCGAAGCCTAGTAATCTGAATTCGGTGTGCTAGCAGGCTTATACCTGATAGACTCCCAAACACACGACGGCTTGCCTCCACGTTACTAACCCGGTCGCTCCATCCAACGTGGGCTAAACTGCGTCAACACCGATAATCGAAAACTTTTAGTCTAGTCTAGTCTAGTCTCCTACCAGTAAATTCAGGTTCTCACAACCGTATAGCAGGACTGAACGAACGCTAGCACAATATACACGACCTTTCAACCTCAGTGAAAGGTCGCGCCTACAACAAAGATATTTCAGTCCTGCGTATGCTGTTCGAGCCTTGGAAATGCGGACGGTTACGTCCTTTGCTGCACTACCGTCACGCAACTACCTAAGTAGGAAAAGTAATCCACCACAACTAAATCCTGGCCATTTAGTGTCAGAGCGAGGGTAGACGAAACCCAGTCCTGCAGCATCACTTTACACTTTGAAGGTGCAAATCACATACCAAATGTGGCAACTGCACTTGTCAGTTTATCAAGTGCGCTTTGCGCGTCCTCCATACGTTCAAGCAGACAGACGATATCATCGGCGTATTCTAAATCGCACAGCTTTTCTCCAGCTGTCCATTCAATAACTACGCAATACGGGAGGTCGGCGAACCCCAGTTAGTGAAACAGTCTGCGATAAGAGGAGACAAGCTATTCACAATAGGGATCAACGAGTCGATCGCTGGGCAGAATACTTCAGCGAACAGTTCAGCTGGCCCAGTTCTAACCAGGCTGTTTCATCTCCGACTGAAGCTCCGTGGGCGGTGTCATGCGATCCTCCAACGGAAGCAGAAGTTCGGTCTTACATTCAAACTCTGAAGCGAGGAAAGGCAGCAGAACCTGATGAGCTCCCTCCCACTCTTTTCAAGATGAGAGGCGATAACCTCGTAACCTCTATTACTACTCTACTGCCTTTGTATGGCCGCAGCCCCCTTCCTGAAAGTTGACTGTACAGTTTTATATTCAATAAAATAGAAAAAGAAAGTAAAAAAGACAAACAGAGCAACATTTGGATGAAAGAGCACATTCCTTCATCTTGGGGCGAATCACTGATCGTTCCCATTTTCAAGTATAACAGAAGCCAGCACTTTGGTGACGATCGGAATCACACTGATCCCGCGGTGGTTTTCGCAATTGCTGCGGGATCCTTTCTTGAAAATGGGAACGATCAGTATCCACTCCAAGATGAAGGAATTCGTTCTTGTGTCGAAATATTGCGCAGTACGGTAGTAATGGAGCTTACGAGGCTATCAATCCCCCCCACTCTATCTTGAAGAGTGTGAGGGAGACGATCCGGTTCTGCTGCCTTTACTCACTTAAGAGCGTGAATGTCATACCGAACCTCTACTTCTGTTAGAGGATTGCATGACGCTGCTCACGGAGCTTCAGGCGCGGATGAGGGAACCTGGTCAGCGCCAGGCCATCTGAACTGTTCGCTGAAGTATTCTGCCCAGCGATCAAGTCGTCCATTCCTATTGTGAATGGGTTGTCCACTTTTGTTGCAGGTTGTTTCACTAACTGGAATTGGTCGACCTCCCGTACTGTGTATCAGTCGGAACAGTCTTTGAATAGTGAATAATGTCAAAAAGTCAACACCAAAAGCGATGGAAAACATCACAGGAGTAACAGTGGGAGTGATAGCTTAGCAAATGCAACCGGCCACAAACAAACCGAGAGTTATCGCGAAGAGCGCAATGCGGTTCTGCTATATGACAAAGGGGTGCGCGCATCAGATGAAGATGATATCGCGTAATCAAGCGAACAATTGCATGTAACAACCGATTACCCGTTTGTTTATGGTAAGTACAGAAGATTTAACGAGACCATTCGATTAATCTATATACGAGAACGAACACAGTAGCAAAAATAAGACACTACACACGAGTGAATCATCATTCATAATTTAGGCTAAAATGGGTCTGGGAAAAAGGTTTAAAAACAGCTTACCGCTAGAGATGGGATGAACAGACCGGTTGGAACTTTGATACCAAATGTGAATACGGTCATGAAGAGTTTAAGCACAAGGGCGGTGGCAAGCAAAACCATTGCGGAGGACATTGTAGGGCCTGCCGGATAGATGCCGAGCACTTTTCCCACTGGATCACTCGTATTTACCCGATAGTCACTAAGAGAAAAACGAACATCGGAAAATGAATCTCAGCTGTTTAGTGCAACAGGTTAACAACAGCAACTGGAATATATACGTATTAAACACTCCTTTTTAATTTGAACAAAACGCACGTCCGATGCAAATGTTCAGAGGCAAGTATTCCATGGGTGTGGTATGGTCTTTAATTACTTTTTACTTCTGATCGATCAACACCTGCGGGAGGTTAAGTCGGCTTCTTGGAGGTCTTTAATGATGGCGGCCCATGCATGACGATCGGTAGCATACTGGACGCAATGTAAAACCCAGTTCTGGTTCCAGTTATGAATTCCATAACTGGTATGGTCCTGTTTATTCTTAATCGAAAGAATCGTGGTTTTTGGAATTACTTTGAATCAGGTTTGATCATGTGAATGGGTACATATACTCTATGGTTCGTCCATGTTGTCTAAAACGGTTCACTTCATTTTAGTCCATTAGGAGGACAAGCGTTAAGTCAAACAATTATTTGTGCTTGCATTGTGGATGATGAAACTGCAGTGAGACAGCGATTAATCTCTTCTCTGGACTTCAAATTACGACGATGAAGCCTCAGAGCGAGCTCGGCAGATCGNCCCCCCCCCCCCCCAGGATCACAATATACACAAAGAATGTGCAAAGTGAATGAGGAGTGAACCGGACGTAGAGGGGAAAATGAAGTGAACCATTAGGGTCCACAAGATAATTGTTTAATTATGCAAACATACCTTAACAAGCATTCTGGTCCGATTAAAAATGACGACCAGAACGCCATTGCTCGCGTTTCGTTACCATATCATAGTGTCTCCAAACGGCAGTCCATTCGAACTCAACAAAAATGAACGAGGAAGCTTATTCTACCTAATTTTCCTGTGCGTTATTTTCGCTTCTCGGTTTTCTCTATTCTAAAGGGGCAATTGTAAAGCGTAGGCGATGATGGAAATATGATTTTGAGACAGATAGAAGATTGCGTAATCTATTTTCCACGCGCATATGAAGAAAGAACATGTTGGAAGGGTCAACGTGCACAGAAAACGCGATATGAGTCAAATTTGTCGACTCAAACTAAAACGTGCATGAAGGTGACTGGCTGTTCGATGGTCACAACCTACGTAAACATAAAACCTGATAACCGGATGTGAGACGTACCAAATTGACCAATCGTCACCCGGACTGCATTGGCTAACTAAGAGACGAATGAGTGAGCTTGTATTCATTCGCAAGTAGGTATGTGGGAAGGATACGAGAGCAGTTGCCATAGCCACAACAAGTACTTCACGAACAGGATATCGCCCAAGCCATGTGGATTTTCTCAATCGACATATGTACAGGTTAGCCCGGTTGAAGATTGTTCCAAAAATGCCCTAAACAAAAGAGAAATGACAGCGCATGTGTAATACGTAATTATTAACAATGGATTGCACACAAACCAATGGGCTGCTTCGGAAAATTCACCGTGCGAATATCGTTTATCAGACATGCACTTTGACAGTGAAGCGATCTGTGTGCCAACAGTAGGTCATCGGAATGATCGCACTGCGTCACGACGCATTAACAAAGCGATGGTCCACGGTAAACATAATAATAATAAATCCTCTGTGAAGGAACAGATACACTAGTTTCGACAGACGCGACGGGTTCATCAAGTGAGCAAGTACCGTAAATTTCGCTTGGTTGTATGCATGACCCAGGTTTATGTTGTAAATTGCATTATATTGGACGGCTGCTTCGAAGGCGAGACCAAGCACAAAGTGCCCATTAAGTACACGGTACTTCAAATGATTGTATTGTATTGTGTATGACTTTCCAAGCACTGGAGCCCACATTTCAGTTAAAAAATCATACACGTCAACCATCGCAGTGTGAAAAATATATTTTACAGATATGAGGATATTTCATAACCCAAGGTTAAAACAAAGTTCATTTATTGTCCGCTCTTTGTTTATGAGTACACGAGCAAGATACGGTATGGGTGAATTGCGGTAAGCGTTGATTCGAGATGAAATTTGGCGGAACTGAGAGCGTGTTGAATGGTGGGGACCACATCGTGTCAGTTCTGCGTGCAATGGGTGGTCAGGATCTGTGAGAATCCTCCCAGAAAATTTCATACAGGAAGTTACGTGATACTCTGAAAACTTTAAAGCTAACTCATTCACAGGAATAGAACAGACACGACTAATAATGGTTAGACCGCGGTGTAAGACTTTAAAGGCCTGTTCGAGTAAGCCAGGAAAACTAACTGGGGAACAGTAGAGTAAGATGGGGAAAACACACTGATAAACAAAGGTAGAAGAAACTGACCGGGATGCACAAAACTGCCGGAGCTTTCGGATTAGAAATGATAGGCGCCGCAGTTTACCAATGCAGTTGTGGATGTGGATTGACCAATGAAGATTGCTATCTATGGTTACACCAAGATATTTGAGAGTTCACCCTGGATAAAGGATTGTTATTAATCGCTGTGGGGTCCATCGGATAAGGGAAGCGAGCAAAACTATATAGACACTCAACACATTTA